CCATTGATGAGTATTTTCTCAACTGCTGTGAACCAAAGACAGTCTCAAAAACGCGGTTTGAAATCGCTGGTGTTTCTGACGTCACAAACTACCTTGTAACCAATCAGGTCAACGTGTGATCGTCAACGGGTGAATCTTTGAGCTGGTGTGAGTGAGTGGAGGCGGTGCTAATTTGCATATTCATAGAACCTCGTATGAGGCAAGGGTGTAGTTAGATTCAAGTTATTTTAAGACATGGAGATATTTTTTTTCAAAGAAAAAACTTTTACATATGTCGTTTTGGTGATCAAATATGAGTTTTAAGGAATACAATTATTGACTACGGGGGACTTTAACTTCAACTTACAATTCCTGTTCATCAATACAGTGAGAACCACCAGACCCGTTATAAACCTAAATATCCTCGATTTAATTGAAAAGTGTACTGTCCGACTAGTAATAGAAGATGTTTGTTACTGTAATGATGACAGTAGCGCACACAAAAGTAGTAGCTGTTCCGTATGCACTATATGCGTACCGCGCCCGAGCCCAACTGAACAGTGCTTTGGCCTACCTCTTCTAAGCGGGCCAGGGACGGTTCAGCGAACCCAACCAATGGCACACGCACCAAAAGCGGAACAAAACAGAGCTGCTCGTTTGAACAGTAAGTCCATTTATCGGCTCGGCTCAAAAGACACCGCAGTGGGAGCTTAGAGCAAAATTATAGTATAAAAATTTGGACCTATAAAAATGAGGTTGTTACAATTTTTATAGATGCTACTGTTTTTGTTAATGAACATAAATTTACATCTGCGTCCCACTCCCAACTCAAGCTACTGTCAAATGTGCGTTTCTAAAGAGACAAAACATATAATATTAATTTGTGAAATGTTCACCGGTTTGACAAGTGTTTCTCATGTTTTGATGATAAAACCACAATTAACTGTTTGGTTTCTACAACCGAACTTTCACTCAGGGGCAAAAATCTGCCTTTAAACTTTGAAGGAAATAAAGATTTGACATTTATCGTAATAATTAGCGAAAAAATAGAAAAAATATATATCGTGATCGTTTTTTATATCACAATAAAATATTTAACAGCTTGGCATAACTAGAAAGATTTACATCCTTTATATATATATTTTTTTAAATAACATAATGAGAAATATCTTCTTGTTATATTAGTTGTTTTAGCTCATTTAAATGCTTGTTTTGTCTTATTTTAAATAATTTTAAGTCATCTTGAGGCCCTCTTGGAAGGTTGTTGAGGCCCCTGGTTGAGGACCATTGGTTTATAGTGCATGCAACTTATATTAGTATTATAAGTTTTTAAATATGTAGAGTGATGTCATTGCACAATGATGTAAAAGAACCATGGAATTGTTCTTTTTTAAACTGGTTCGTTGAAACGAACCGTCAGGAGGAGAACCGGTTCACGGAATTGAATCGGTCTTGCCATCACTAATGTGCAAAACACACACATACATACATAATCCAATCATTTAAAGCTGATAAACTTCATAAATGGCAGTAGCCCACTGTGCTGGCATTTACAAAAATAAAATCCAAAATCCACTTTAGAAGTCCTTAAAATCCCCACCCACCTCCACACTGGATTTACCAAGATGCTGCTGTCAGTCAGAGCACAGGGTTTACATACAGAGGAGAAGGGAGGAGAGGAAATAAGCAAACCATCATATTAGCCGCGATGACCAAGAAACAGTAATAAACTGTTACTTATAGGAATCATCTGACATTGTGTAGTTACCACTACCACCACATAGGTCTGCCAGAGAGGTCATTCCATCACTTCTAATTAATAGCAAAACTCGGCCTTGGTCATTATAAATGCACATACACACACAAAAGTCCCTGGGATGCTTCTTCGGACCACATAACATGCCAATGCAGTGTAAAGACATGCAGCTCAGTCTCTGAGGAACCACGTCTTACTGCATCATGTTGCATTGTCCCTGCAATCTTTACATACTGTAATTGTGGACTGCTCAAAGCAAATCACCGCACAGCAGCAATTGCATGATGGTGCACAGCAGCAAGCCTGCATTCAATCTAAACTCTGGTCAATATGATGAGGCAGCTGAAACTGCATCAAGTCCACATTTTCGTCATTACAGTCCAAACCACCACAGAATTATTCTGGATTCTGTCGAGCTCCAATTATAAGAGCAGGAGTTGAGTGCAAGGACAGAGGGGGATGCTCAATTATGCATAAAGAAAAGTGCCTAAAAGGTGGTCCAGCCTCAGTCCCAGTGACAGCATCTACCAGTCATAATGGAGACCAGCCTACCTCACAGTGAAGGCTGTGGGATACTGGGCTGTAGGGTGCCATAACACATGTCATCAAGGATTATAATTAATGGAACTAACTAATGCAACATGCAATGCATTGCCCAGGTTAAGGAGGTGATGAACATATGGACTAAATGCGCCATGCAGGGTCAGAAGATGGACCAGAGATGATGATGGGAGGTGTAGGTATCTCGATTAGAGGTGGACGCGACACTACACCTGATCAAGTTATTCAGCTTTATCATGCATTGAACAAGGCCATCAGTCCATTTATGTAAGCATAACTATGGTACAAACACATATTTTATGCACAGTTAATCACTGAAATGAAGAAAGACAGATGGAATGAGCTTTAAAGCAGGCGTCGACAGAAAAGAGAACAGTTTCTCGGTTTGTGCACTAACCACAGCGTCTATTACAGCTCAGTTTTGAATTTGACTTAAGGAGAGATTCACGAGATATAGCGATAAAGCAGCGATGAATTCCCGCCGCCAGCGCGCGCCAGATGTTAGCAACGCTCCATTGGAGCAGCGCGAAATCGCCAGTACTTACCGCAAAACCGCCGAAATGCAAATTATTCGTGGACACCGATAAATCCATTTGTAAAAGAATCATAGGATGACATTCTTTCCAAAGGTGTTTTCACGCGATAGATGAACGGGCGGCTCCGACTGGGTCTCGCGCGCTGGGCAAGAGGGTCAGAGCGCGTGACGTAGACGCTCCACATAGAGAGATGCTGTTTCAGGGCATTTGAATGTGTTGCCATGTAGTCGAACAGGAGTTGGTTAAAAAAATGGAGTTCCCATCGAAATAAACTGAAAAAATACGGTTACAGAGCGAAAACAACAATCCCTAAACGGTCACATGAGTGACCATCTGCTCGTGGTGCGCATTAACGCCCACAAATTTCGTTACTTTGAATAGCTTTGATATATTTATTTAGTCTTCTGTTGGTCGGATTTCAAAAGTATTCGGGTTAAACAAAGTCCACATAACTTTGGCGAAGACTAGTCAGCGCCTCATAAAATATTTTGTAGAAGGATGATTAAAAGAAATACGTTTTTCTAAAGGCTTTTTCAAAATGAACATTAGGCAACATTGCCATCGTGTGGATAAAAGGGCATCGCCAGTGATCTAACTGCTTCTGTCAGATGATAACATGTTCACAATCAAATTGTATTATATAAAGAGTTATCTATAAATAATTAAGAAAACATAGGTTTCGCAATTCGTTTTATTATAATTAACACAAATGGCAACTGAGAAAAAAACAACAACAATAAATTCCCACACATTATACTGTTTAAGAGTTGCAGAGTAAGCAAAATACCCGTTCTGCCAGATGGAGTACCAAAGCCTTTTTGAGCTCAGTTCACCTCACCTTCTGCTTTACCCATCAAGTTTTTGGACCTCGGCTCATCTTTTAGCCTCCTCTCATGTTCTGCCAACCAGTCACACATACTGAGTCTTGGACCTGTTAGAAGCCAGCCAATGTTTAACAACCAGGGCTGTTATGATTATGAACCATGTGGGACTATTAGTGATTCTCAGGTACCTCAGCCCACTGTCCATACCTTGCATTCCAGGTCCAATCGAATCCATCCGAAAGAATACCAGTGGATCCCAGTGTTATGTAGTCAAAATATAAAATAATTAGCAAACAAATCCATCCACAGAAGGGTTTATGTGAATTTTTTCTGTACAAAAGGCATCTTCAGCTCATATAAGGGCAGTACAACCTTTTCAGCTTCTAACAATGTCCGCATGTGGCTTTTAGCAGTTGTCTAACATCCATTTGACTTGCAGAATAGATTAATTGCAGATGCTGAAAGTTAAATGCCCCAGTCAAGGGTGGTATGATGATTAAGTAGGCCTGTCATATCCAGTATGGGTCACCGCTACCTGGAAACTAACCTGAAGCCTTTACTGTAACGCTCCATAATTTAACTACTCCTGCTTGTTTTCATTTTTAAAATTAAACATCTTGAAGTCAGAAACTCCTGTTTCTCATCCCCTCGGGATTATATTCTTATATTCAGTGATAGTAAAGACATTTATAATCTTTAAAAGATTATTGTAAATACATGTTGTTCTTTTGAACTTTCTATTTATCAAAGAATCCAAAAAAGAAAATCCATCACGGTTTACACAAAAATATTAAGCAGCTCAACTTTTTTTTCAACATTGATAATAAGTGTTTCTTGAGCATGTACTAATCAGCATATTAGAATGATTTCTGTGACATTGAAAACTGTAGAAATGACTGCTGAAAATTCAGCTTCGCCATCACAGGAAACCTTAGAATAGAAATGTTACTTTAAATTGTATTAATATTTCACAATATTACTGTTTTTATTGCATTTTTAATCAATTAAATGCAGTCTCGAGTGAGTATAATACTTCTCAAAACATTTAAAAAACGTACCAAGTTTTGAACATTAGTGCATGTCTTTTTTATTAATTGTTAGTATACACTAATTAATTTATACTAAATGATTAGTGCATGTCAAATTATATTAAATAGAAATGATATTAGTAATGTTGTTTTTACCAATTTTATTCTCTTTTTAGTTTTAGCATTATGTTTTCCTCTTTGGAAAATTTTGTACACATACATATCGTAAATGTATTAAACAAATAAAAACGTATAAGGATAACAGTGCATTCATCCTGAGAGGCTGACCTATCAAACAATGACCACAAACAGCAAGCATTTCATGCACATGCAATTTTATTTAGTTATCATTTATAGGCATGAACTGACAGCAAGTGTAAACATAACTTATACAGCATTTAACACCAAAACAACTGAATCTGAGATTATTTACCATTACATTAATACTAATAACAGACATTCACAATCACGAACTCCCTAAACCCCCTTCCTGTTCTCAAAGGGCATCTCCTTACTTTATGTATTAATTCATGGTAAGATGGCCTTCTTGTGTGCACATCTTGTACTCAATTAGTTAACTATTAGACCATAAGGATACTCAAAAGTGTTCAAACCAGAGATTTGCTGAAGTGAGTAATAATGTATGTTTGCAGCTTACGCATTTTGTCATATTCATTGACAACGTGAGGTGAAAAAGAGCTGTTTTTAACGTGGCATAAGTTCATCCTATCTGTTTAAATGTGTGTGTTATCTTCAGTGTTCCTAAAGTTTTGGCACATTATAGCGCCATGACATGAGCATTAATGAATAAGTGAAACATGAATATGAAAATCAGCTCTACCTTGACATCAATGCTCAATGCATCTAAGATGTATTTTGTAGTGCACATAACCTGTAGTTTTCATTTAGGGACACAAATATTCCTTCCTTCTAGGGTTAGTTATACAGATCACAAGCACCATAGATATGTGAGCCTGACACAAACTAGTCAATGAAGAAAAATAGTGTTTTTGCTTTAAGCAGAGAGCGGGTGTTTGATGCAAAGGAGCTATTGGATACAAGAGAACAACAATTCTTGAAGAAGGGTTTTGGGGGGCAATCGTCTTTTATTCCAATTCATCCTCTGGTGCAATGGTGCTTGTCTGCTCAGAGGTAATGCCTAAAATATCAAATATACACAAATTACATATTACAAATTACAATTACATACATAATTTGACATGTATTAAAGGTGCAGTAAGCAATTTTTGAGAAATGCTGTTGAAAATTTAAATCAACACCCAAACAACCAATTTTGTGAATATTTTCTTTGACCCCATTTACACCTGGTATTAAAATGAGATCTGTATCAAGATAAGTTATCCGGATAATAAGTGTTCTGATCTTACCTTTGCGTTTACACCTTGTATTTTTAATGCGTTCTCGTTATCCACATTGAGTTCGGATCTCTGTCCTCCAGAAAAAAAAAGGACAAAAAAAATGACGTTTGGCAGGTACGAATGCCATCACGTCGTACGGATTGCGTTTACACCTAGTAAAGATCCGAACACAATGCGAGCCAGACTACCTCCAGATGTGGTCAGGCAGATCCGATCACAACGTATTTACACCTTGCATTAACATGCGTTTTTTATTATCCGGATAACTTATCTGGATACAGATCGCATTTTAATACCAGGTGTAAATGCGGTCTTTGTGTGTGCTGAAATATGTGCCAATCAGGCCACGACCCACAACACTCTTTCAGCCAATCAGCAGTAGGGGGCTCATGATGGGGGAGGAGAGAGCGTGAGAAAGAGGTACAATTGTAGAAAGACTGAGAAAGAGAGATGGCTGAGATATTACCAAGGAGGAAAAGCTCAGAGGAATAAAATTGGAAGAAGAAGGGTTACGATCAGGCAAGAGCTAGGACCCGCGTTAATATTGGAAAAGCTTTCCATCGCTGGAGTAGTCTTGCATAACCAGACCTTTAGACTGACGACAGAAGATCTGGACTCCATCACAGCATTCATTGGCTAAGGACCGCCCAAGAGGATCGTCTAATTAACCGATATGTAAAGCAACCAATTACAGTTTGTTTTGTCCCGTGTCATGTTTAGGGGCGTTAAAATGTAAAGTTGATGTACCTATGATAGCAGGCCGGTGTGCATCTAATATATTGGAATGCCGATACCGATATATTTGTATTTTTTTTTTAAGTGCAAAAAAAGCTTATTAAAGCTTCTATTAAAGTTCTCAGTCAAGAGCAGTGAGTGATTTCCTCTGTCTTTTGTTGTTTTATTAACATTAAAGGGATAGTTCTCCCAAAAAATTTAATTGTCATCATTTACTCTCTCAAGTTGTTTTAAACCCAAAAAAATTCTTTCTTCTGTTGAAAATAAAAGTTATTTGGAAGAATGTGGCTAACCAAACAGTTGCTGTACTTCAGTGACTTCCATAGTATATTTAAGCACAAGAAAGAAATGAATACAGGTTTGGAACAACATTAGAGTGAGTAAATAATGACAGAACTTTTATTTCTGGGTGCAGTATCTCTTTAAGAACAAGCGGCAGCATATTATTACTGTCTCTTTAAGAACTGCACGCAACGCGTCTAATATACACACATTTGACAAGCAGATTTTCTCTGTTTGCTTTCACTTTAGACATAACCAACTTTGTTTATGTAAACCTTGTGTGTATTTGACAGTATTAGCGCAATAAGACTCGAAAGATAACTTAGTCCAGTATGCAGGCGCTGTGACAGGCTTTTAGTTCCTGTGAGCGTCGGGTGTACGTGCTCATAAAAGCGGATGTTAGAACAGCGCATCAGCGCGTGAATGACATGTTTAACTAGCAAGACTTTGACGCACATGCAAATAATGAACTTTTGTGAATTGCAGTGTCCCGTGAGTGTAACTCTACCTCTGCGTTTACATGTGATGTGAATGTACGTCGCGTTGTACAGTATGTTGAGATGAAGGCGCCAGAATTGAACTGATAGAATGCACGACACTATGATTTTTCTTCAAAAGCAGATCGTGGAGACATTTTAATCGTCCACGATCATAAACCGTGAGACACACACCCCTAGTAGGAAGTTTAAGTTGCTGGCGCTCATGCTTCGTTCACGGTCGTCACGTGCGCATAGGAAACACGCCACCCTATCGGCAAGGCTCATCGGCAGAAATATTCATATCGGCCGATGCAGATGATGGTCATTTAAAGCTTTTATCGGCCGATACCGATGTTGTCCCGATATCATCGTGCATCCCTAAAATCCAGCGTTTAGTTGATCCTGATAAGTGTTCATTGTCACAGTTTCACAAGCCGCGTTTCCATCACCCTTCAAACTGCGCAAATTGAAATTGAAAATTAAAATATGCCCACTGGAAACACGTCAATTTAGTAAAAACTCCCATAGATCGCAAACAAATTTTTACGCTCGCATGAGGTGGTTTTTCAGGCAATTCAAAAAAGGAATATTTTGCAAAACTGCAATGGAAGCACTTTTTTGCATTTACAGGTCACCTGGCGTACGTAAAAGTCGATTATTCTTTAAAGAAAGCACGGTATGTTTGGACAGAAGACGAGACAGAGTTCTTTTTTTAAACTCATAAAAGACAAAAGTATCACAGGAGTTCTGGATTCTAAACAATAAATAAATGCCACAATTTATCAAGACCTCGAATCAGATAAGAGGGAGAAACACCTCATATGTGTCGCTTTCCTTGTCATTAATGCTTGGATAACACACCTACGTCTCCTTCGAATAAATATAATGGCTAGTGCGGTGGCTAGGATATACATAAACCTACCAACATCCGTTGCCTTAATTTTTTGGAATTACTTATCGTGAGAGAGAGAAAAAATGAGACGTTTTAGTCACATAATATCAGTTAATGGAAGCGCCGTCATTTCACAATAGCTTTTTTTATCTATTGCGAAAGTTTTGCGCAAATCTGTAATGGAAACGGGTCTACAGGCTTTCTTCTTCCATGAGGGGGTTTGGCCAAAGCCTTAGGTGAAAAAAAGTGTAATACCTGCTAACGCTACGTATGCAAGGAATGAGACAAGAGGCTGTTTTTTTTTTTAAATGGATGTCAATTCTTTTTGGATTGATCTGTTTTTTTAGTTAACACCGGAAAAAAATGCTATTTTATAAGAGAAGTCACGGAAAATTGCGAAACCGGTGTGATTCCATTTACGGCACTTCTAATTCATTTCTATGGTATCCGCAAACAGTGATTGACTGTTGCACAACTCTGAATGAAATTCAATGACGTCAGGGCTGTATTGTGATTGGTTATCAAAGCACACGTGATCCAAGTTAGCCGTTACGGTTTCTTCAATGGTAGACCCACGGATCCTCATATCTCAGAATAAAAAGGCCATCTCTGGTTTGGCATCCCGGCGGCTTTGTTTTCAGGCAGATCGTTAAAGAACGCACACACACACACCCCTCTCTCGGAAATCCTGTAGAATTCAACCAATCAGATATAAACTTCGAAACTCCCAAAGTTTTTCCCATTTTGTGGGCCTTAAGCAATCAGACAACGGTCAGTGGGCATCTGAGGCTGAGACTAGCGCTGGAGAGACGTTAGAGAGCGGGAAGGCCTGAAAACGTCTCCGGTTTCTGTCGTTACCTCGGTTCCCTGAGAGATGGGAACGAGACATTAGCTTAGCACAGCTATGCTGTGGGAACCCTTCCCCTTCATAGAAATTCTGAAACCTTATAGGATAACGCCAGTGAATTAACTGGCCAATTGTCGCGACTATGCAAACACTGACGAGCCTTCGGGTAGTATAAAATGCAGAGGGGCGACAATGACGTCAGAATCAAAGACTGAACACTTGCACAGCTGGTTGAGCGGCGAGCACGGCGGCTTACGCAATGTCTTGTTCCCGTCTCTCAGGGAACCGAGGTTACAACAGTAATAGAATACGTTCCCTTTCGAGAGCGGTCACTTTGACATTGCGTAGCCCAGCTATAATGTGGGAACCGTGTACAACCCCGCCGTGAGAGGCGTGGAGAACAGCCTGAAGAAACAGGGCTAAGTTTACACCAATCACAGAGTACAACCAATGGCGACGGCGCTTGGAGTGCTCACAGCTGGTAGGTGGAGCTAAGCCAATGGAATGCCAGCTCAGGGACTACCAAAATTTGCATATCAGATGAATAGTGAACAGGCTGCACTGAATACAGTGCAGACACATGTAACGAATGGACTTAAACAAAATGCTCTAGACATCATAAAACCATCCCGCTCTCCCCTGTTGTCATCGGCCCTCAAACCAGTTCTCTTCAAAGACCGTTATCACCTCTGCTGAACGATTTCAGCAAGAGACTGTGTCTGCAACCCTCAAAGACAGCACAGGAGCAGACGGCACTAGCCATTTGGTCAAAGACTATAGAGATAAACTTCCAATAGACAAGGACATTTACTCCATTCTTACCCACCAACTTTCCCAAATGTTAATAGTATTTCTCCTGTTTTTTATGCATGTCCCTATGTTTTATTAGCCTAGTTATGATTCTTTAGTTATGTTAGAGTAACTTCAAATGTTGATATCCAAAGATGATGTATCACTGGTACCAGGTATCATCTTGGTATCAAAAGAATCCTCTTTTGATTTTATAATCAATGGTGTGCAACATGTTATGATAAATTGCATCATAATATTTTTATCATACTTTTGTGTAAAGACTGCACAAATTCTCCATGCCACCATGATCTTAATGGGGATAAGATGGAACAAAGACTTTCTCCCGGTCATCTTGGTCACCTCACCAAATGGGTGTGAACTGATATGACCTTTAAGAGTGTCTGATTAGTTCAGATCTTTGGTCAATCTCTTTGAGACAACATTTTCCTGTCTCCTTCCGGCAACTTCATTTCAAGTTAACTTCTTTGGATTCAAAGTGGACCAAGTTCATTTCTTTGGATTCAACGTGGACCACCCCAAGAACCCAAACGAACGCTTCAGCGCACTCCTGGCAAAATCATCAAGAATCTCCTGCATCTGGACTTGTTCAGCAACCGAAGTCAATGCAAGTACCCGTTCGCAGCCTTTAGATGTGTTTCTAAGTTATTGTGCCCCTTTAAGGTGACCCTGATTCTTTGGGTTGTGGTTAACTAGGTTAACTAATTGTAATATTGCCATTCTTTTTTCTTCTCTCTCTCTTTCTTTACTTTTCTTTACTTTCTTAATTCTGTATACAATCTTTGCTTAGTTTAGTTGTGAGTAGCCTACCGTAGTTTCGTTTATTAACCCATTATATCCACGCTTTATTTTCTCTGTTTGCCACTCAAATAACACAAAAATATCGAAGTCGCTTAAACATCTTGATCTAGCGATACCTATGCTATTACCCTGCTAGTACTTTATTTACTTTAGTTGAAAAAGGTTATTCTTTCTTGGCCAGGAAGATCATTTATTTCCCAGAATTAATAATTGATTATGCTTTCGGTTCATTGGATGAACTGATAAAATAATTATACTATTGATTCTGCTACAGTCAATTCTAAAAATAATTCAAATATTTATAACTAATTATAATCCGTTCAAATTAATTATATATATATATATATATATATATATATATATATATATATTTATTTAGCTAATTTGCTACACACAACAACGAGCACATACAGTATATGCACATAGACATGCACAGCGTCAACAGCTAAAGCGATAACAGACTGTGCCCAGAAGCAGTTATTTAGCAATAACCCTGAAATAAGTGAGGTTATTCACTCACCGAAAGCACTTGAGATGCCAAAGACGGCACGTCCAACTTGTAAAACCTGGCGAAAGTGTTTTGTGAAGACCACCCAGCAGCAAAGCATAAATCCCGGATAGACATACCTCTAGACCAGGCCTATGAAGGGGCGATAACCCTTATCGAGTGGGCATTCTTGTCCCTGGTTCTCATAAGCCAAAACGATGGTGTCCACTATCCAGCGAGAAAACCTCTGCTTAGAGACTGCCCATCCCTTAGCACAGTCACCGTAGCATACAAAGAGCTGGTCTGACTGTCGAAAGCAGCCGAGCGGTATAAATAACACTGCAAAGCCCTGACAGGGCAAACAGCGCTCTGAGCGTCAGAGTCATGCGAGGTTGACGACTCAGAAGACAAAGCGGGTAGAGGAATGACCTGCCTCTTAAAAGGGAGTAGAAAGAGATTCAGGCACGAAGCCCGGTCTCGGCCAGAGATTGACACTACAATCACCGGGTCCAAAACGAATACAATCGGCGTTCACCGAGAGCCTGCAAATCTCCAATGCGCTTAGCCGAAGCAAGGGCAAGAAGCAAAGCAGTTTTGAGAGAGAGCTCCCTAAGAGCAATAGAATCCAAGGCCTCGAACAGGGTAAAGAGAGAGAGCCTTCAGAACCATGACTAGGTCCTGGGCGGAGAGGGGTTCCAATGAAGAGCGGGAACTCGACGGTGGCTGGAATGAGCACCTTTTGCACGTCACTGAAGAGGCTAGAGGGAGTGATTGAGCGTTGAGGAGTCCTTAAGGGCAGCTAGGGTTAACCATAGGTGCCGGTGAAGGAACATCATGAAGCCCATAGAACGGCCAATGGCTTGGGTGGAGTGCTTTGTTGCCATGAGCATTAAGTCCGTTTACGTGCGCAGATCTTTCTCGTGCGTCCACGTTGCCTCTGTCCAGGGACTGCAGGACCTTGGCCTGGAAGACCTGCAGCACAGCCATAGAATGCAGCGCAGACGCCGCTTCGCCAGCGGGCGCGTAGACCTTATCAGCTGAGATCCGCGCCCAGCGTGGTTGGGGAAGGGCACAGATGCACGGCGACAGTCTCCCCGACGGGGGGCATGCGCACGTAGCCGTGGGCTTCCGCCCCGTCCACTTGGGAAAAGGAGGCCTGTAAAGAGGCATGGACGCGCTCCAACTGGGGTGCAGACCACGACTTCACCACGTGCTCATGGACGTCAGGGAAAAAGGGCATCTTCCACCTCGAAGCAACCTAGCGGCGGCCCGTCTGAAAGTACAAGGAGTCTTACTTACTCTTGGTGGGCTCATCCGGAGCGATCTAGGTGAGGTCCAGCTCCATAACCGCCTTCTCAAAAACCCTGATGAGCTCCGCCTTCTGTGTCGGAGCGTTCTGGCTCCTACGCTGCCCAGTCTTTCTTCAACACCGATAGGGACCTTGAGTCTCTGCCAGCGCTGAAGGAGCAAAAAGTCTGTGACGATGGGAGGAGGGCAGAAGGTGCAGAGGGCTCTCATCGGAGAAATGGACTGGGGAATGGAGCGACGGCAGAGGACGACGGCAGGGGCCTCGCCACTGTAATGCCACGAGCAATATCCTGGATCTCAAAACGCGCACCAGCAGGTCAGCGCAGTGCACGCAGCCGGATTCCAAGGCGGCGGCCTCAGCGTGGGGCAGGCCCAGGCAGGCGATGCAGTGGTCCAAATCCTGCAAAAAGTAGCCATCGGATGCAGTGAAGAAGTTTCTTCAGGTGTGTCTTTAACGATGGCAGCGTGAAGGAAAACATTCTGACGTCATTATCCCACCTCTGCATTTTATACTGCCCGAAGGCTCGTCAGTATTTGCATAGTTGCGACAATTGGCCAGTTAATTCACTGGCGTTATCTTATAAGGTTTCCCACAGCATAGCTGGGCTACACAATGTTGAAGTGACCACTCTCGAAAGGGAACTGAAGCTGAGGTTGCTTTGTTTCTGCTCGATAAGTAACATTGGTTTTGCGGTTTCACAAAACCATAATTTGCTGCTGCTGTTGTTGAATCACAACTGATTTATCCATACTTGCGCAAGCTGTGTGATGTGCCGGCTGTTAGTCGTTGCCTGTGTTACATAGCATGTTTGTTATTTTGAGGTGGAGCAATGAAGGGAGGGGTGTGTTTCTTTTGGGTAGGGGTGTGTTTGTTTGGGTATTGATTTAAAATATCAACATTGTTTGTCAGAAACTACTTACTGCACCTTTAAGCATTTCATACCAAGCAGCACTGCAGCTGGCTCCTACTGTAATTGTGGTTAACATAAAGCACAACTCAAACTACTCATGATATAATAAAAAAAAAACAACAGGAAGACTCACTTGAAGCATCATCATCATTGGGAGATTTATCCTCATCCTGGGCATAACCAAAGCTTAAAAGTTTGGACATGCTGACTGGAGCTGTTTTCTTCTTATCATGGGAACTGCAGTGTAGAAACTATTATCAAATACTAATATAGACTGATAGATATTTATTAATGTGCATTTGGAAAATAATGTAGGGGCTAAAAATGTTTTGTTGTTGTTGTTTTTTTAATAAGAGAGAGAGACACATACGTCTTTTTGAACTTGTTGGCCTCATCTATATCTTGTAGGGAGAGTTTCTGCATCTCCGACGTAGCATTGTTGACATTCTGTGTGAGGACATTAGATTTTTAATATTAATTCACAATTTAATATAATGATATAAAACACTGCCGATGAAAATCATAACAAGTGATTAATTCACAATTAATAATTCCATCCAGCAATAAAAAAGGAAACTCACAGATACAGAACATTGTTAATAAAAAGAAAGAAGCATGAAGGAAGAATAATGAATGACTAATAATGCAATAAGATGATTCAGTTTCCTGTGTATATGATGAACATGATAGGGCATGAAGTGAGAATCGCAGATCTAATGTTACAGGGTACAGAGCCATTTCAACAGTCATTTGAGTCAGCATTCTGAAATAACCAGTTCTGTATAGTTAAATATGTCAAACTGGTTTTTGCCATGGAAAGTCTTTTTGTTTAGTAACCTTAATCCTTTAAACTATTTGCTAAGATATTAGGCAACTGTAATGAAAAGCAAATGATTTTAAATAATGATTCTCAAATATTTACAGTATTTAGTGTTCCCAACTGAGTAGCCACACAGCATGCAATTTTATCAAATTGTATGTATAAAAATTCACCATGAAAACACAAAAGGTAATTTGCAAAACCCCTGTTTTCCTGTGAGAGAAAATGGTCTTTGCATTTGTCAACCAGTCAAGAAAGTAAAAAGCAGAATCACAACAAAGGAAAACAAAAATGATTGGACCCCAGTTTTTGCAGAAACTTATTTTGCTTGGCAAAAAATAAAATAAAAAGATGGCAAGATGGCAATTGAAAGATTGTTTATAATATGGCGGCTGGATGAAGAATGGAAGGTTCGAATACACGATGGCTTTTACGGTCTGTGCTAATCCATTCACCTTGTCATTACCAGAATCCCTGTCCCAGGCTGAACAGTTATCAGTTCCAAATGGGGGCTCCAGTTGCTGTAAGGCCCCTTTAGACTCACTCTTGCTGATTCCGTCAGGGGTAGTTGCATTACTTCCGCTGCAAGCATAAGATCAAAAGATTGAACCCCAGTTTTATACCACCATGGATTGGATGGATTGGGGTTTACCCTTTTATGTCTCTACAAACCCCTGTATTTCTTCTGAGAGAAGAATGCAAGTCCTCCATGTCCCCCTATTAATACGGACCAGAATATTCTTGAATTGCTTGAACATGCCATGCCTTAAATACCAGAACTAATTGACACATGCATCGCTTCTTTTGCCAGGCCAATGAGTTGTAATAAATTGAGATGGTCTCTTATAATCTTGGATCATTCGTCGAACCAAAATTATGTACAAAACATTATTGGGCTGACAAATTCTCACCTCTCTTGATCATCGGGTGAGCCAGAGAACCAATTAGAGGGTTTGTAGGTACTGTTAGGTTTTGATTCCACAGGATCATCGTGCCACAACAAACCTACAGGAGAATTGAAAGATTAGCAGGGCCATAATTATAGGCATCTTTTAAAGTAAATCAAATCACGTAGTGTTTATTTTTGTAAAAGCAGTAGTCGTTCTGTACATAAATACTACACTTTGTTCCTATAGGACGCTATTCTGAACATGTAGTGAATCACAGCAAAGTTAATGACAAATATAAAAATAAAATTCTATACAGGAGACACATTTACCCTTCTGTCCTCCTTGTTTTGCAAGTTTAACATAATCCGAGTCAGATGCCTGAATTCCTACACGCCGTCCTTTAGTTTTTTCCTCAGGAGTGACGTCGGCAGTCTGAGACAAACCTGGAATCTGTGAAGAGGGTCCAGAAGCTCCATTTGAAGCTTCATGTTGAGTTGATCTAACACCTACAATGAAATAAAAATATTTGCACAATTATTCAAGTGGTGCTCATTGCAGAGCCAAATGGCATCCGGCTCCAGCTCTCTGGACGTCATGGGTTGAGTTTGACCTAATCCAGCTCCACCTATGTGGATCTAATGGCTGGACAGATAGAGTTATGGGTAAGGTTAGGGTGTGGTTGGACCTTCTAGCACCATCCATTTTACGCCAAAATTACACCCAGAGAGGGGGAGCTCCACCCACGGCTCTGCAGTGAGCAGCCTCTACAATTATTTGCCTCAATCTTATACAATATTTATAAGTATTATGTGACAGTAATGTAAGCCTACAGTGTTCTGTAAAGAAAATAAAAAAATAACAACGGTAATAATTTGTTGCTCACAAGGGCCATTACCCGGTTTTGTCCGGCGATAGTTGGGCTCGGCATCCATGTCTGGTGTCTTGGTGGTCATTGGTGGTTAGATAGCACTGCAATTGCAGAAAGAGTCAATTAAGTGCTTAACATTGATTCTAAATAGAAGGTTCTCATTTAATGCGTTCTTAAATCATCCAATTAAACCGCGAAATACTGTCAGTCATCTCGACATATTGAGCGCAGACCATTGCTCCGTTGTGTAGACAGCCGCATATCGGCAGCAATCTAACTTAGCAACGCGAATAAACGCGGCTACTGCTGATTACGTTTTTAAACACTGTGGTTATTTTAGCTAGTTCTCTTGGGATTATTCTTGTTAAATAGTTAGCTCCCCAGTCAACCTGGTCGCCTAGTAACAAAAGCAGCATCAGGACCACCATAAGCATCATCTATACAAGACATTACCAATTATCTGCGCAGACTTTAAAAACAGAAATTACAGACATCCCGGATAAAAACTAAATGTAGAGCAATATTTAAATATTAAATTACATCGTTATTATTTAGCTGAGGCTACTAAAATGACATGGAAAAGACAAAGCTTACGTCGTGTTAACTAGCAGCAGCACGCAGAAGGGGGACGCCTAGATTTCTCTTCTTCATATGACTGAACTGCGCTCTGAACCGGGACTGAGGCGCCTCTCCTGCCACCTACTGGATGGGAAACAATCTTCAAGTCAAAACCTTTTTACAGTCTATGGTAAAAAAAACCATGGTAAAAACATGACATCACATGTAATATTAAGAATTAGAGATTTGGCTGATATAATGAGTTTTTTCATAAACTTTATTATTTAAAAAACATCTTTGTTTGTTTGTTGACGGCAGTTTAAAACCGAGGTCATTAATTAATAAATTAAGCCACATTTAGCTATTTTAAGTTATTTTTTGAAAATGTAAATATGTTGTTCATGTTTATTAACTCTCTATTTCTGTTTTAATTTATGGAAGACATTATCTGTCAATTTTAAATAAATTATTTAAATAATAGGCTAAGTGTACGCAAAACGTGCCAAATTAAAAAAAAAAAAAATTCAATTGTTTTAGGTTTCAGTTTCAGATTTATCATTTGATTAATGGATTTAAAATTGACCTTGTTAATGCAGCCATTTAGTTTGTTTTAAACAAGTTGCAAAGGTGATTTTAAACATGATTCTCCATAACTGGGCGCTGACAAACTTACAGTAAATTCAAAAGTTTGCCCCGGCCGGGGACTTTACTGATGTCACGTGACATCCGTTCAGAGGCGCGTGTAAAAGCCGGAGGAGTGACGTTCAGCAGCAGAGATGTCAGCAACACACACTCTGAAGATGACAGCATCTGTTCAATACATAAGAAAACTGCTGGGGAAAAGCAGCTGCGCGACAAACAACCTGTTTAACACTGGACACAAAACACAGAAGAACACTAGTGATTATAAACAACCAACCAAGAGCAAAGATGAAAAAAGTCATAAAAGAAACGTAAGTGACTACTAATTTTTTATTTATTTATTTATTTCTCATTGACTTTATTTTTTAAATGTTGATTCTATGATTCTAATCATTATTTTGTAATTGATATTTATTATTATTATTATATAAATAATATATTAATCTATTATCTAAGTTACTTATTTTAATAATGACCTATTGTGGTGTATTTTTTTAGGTTCTGCAATCCCAAGACAAGACAATGGAGCAGTGCATACGGTATAAATATATATTTTTTTAAATATATATATATATACGATTAACATCTTAAGTCGCCTACACAAATTCAACCCAGATGCAGTCATATCTCTGTCTCTTTCTTACTCATGTCTCTCTCTTGATTAATAGGAAAACTGTTGTTTTAAGAAGAAAAGAAAACGAAACTTTTGGGTTTGACATCCAGGTAACCTTATTACCCGCCCACCTTCTATCCCTCTCTCTCTTCTCATCCTTTTTTCTCCATTCATTCAAGCATTACGCCTGCCTGAGGGCTTATTTTCTGTCAGAGGATAATTGGATTTTGGATGATGAATTGATTGGATCTTTATTCCCTGTCCATAGACAGGCAGTGTTGAGAGAAGCATCAGTGCTGAGCAGGATTTGGGCTCATGTGTGTGTTGGGTGAAGGAGAACAGTCTCGCAGAGAGTAGTGGGTTAATGACAGGTGAGTTATCAAAACACCGGCCCACTTTCTGTCAAGAACCAGTGTCATTCATACTTACTCATTGCTAAAATCTCTTTGTCTCTCATCTCAGGTGATGTTATTATCACAGTCAACAGTGTGTACATTGCTGGATTCACTCAGCAGCAGATCAAGGATCTGGTTCAGAAGTCCTCCTTCTTAATGTAAGACTAAACACTATTGACTTTGGTACAATTTGATATGTTAAACCTTAAATAAAAGTTAAATACACCTTTTTTTTATGTAAAAATTCTGCTGTACTGTGCCAGACTAACTGGGACTAGTCACAGCACTGGCATATTTAGCAGGGATATGTTGATACACCAGATTATAAATAATTTTGCCCTATTATTGGTTTGATTGCTTCTGTTGCTCTCCTCATTTGGATAAAAGCGTCTGCTAAATGATTAAATGTAATGTACAGTAAAACCTGTTAATCGGTTCACTTAACCTGTGCAGTGTAAAAAAGATGTTTGTAAGTAAAAAAGTATGAATTACCATAATTTATGGTTAAAATCTACATCGATTTAAATTTGATTTAAATAAATTTGATATAGGTTTAAGAGATCAGTACATGTACATACCTCTACAGTAATTAAAAGATTGTTAAAATAGTTGTATATATATTTAATGTATACAAATATTGTGGTATTTTAAAAACATTGTAATAAAATCCTGTTAAATTTTATGTAAAACTATTTAAATAAAATATAAACTACAATAGCTAAATAGTTTTACATAAAATTTAACAGGATTTTATTACAATGTTTTTAAAATATCACAATATTTGTATTCATTCTGTCACAAAAGCTGCCACTGTGATAGAATGTGTGTGAGTGGGTGTATAATGGCACAATCCAAAGCAGTAGTAATTCAATGAATAGTAGAAGTTGTATTTTTATTACTTAAAGTCGGAATGAAACAGAAGTTGTGATAGTCTTTTCTTTCATATTGTGACACATCAGAGCGAAACGTCAGTTCAGACAAGAAAAAATATAGCCTTCGCACCAGTAAACACTTCATCAGAGAAGAGATGTCAGGAGGGGAAGTTATTTTGATGAAAGATTACGAGGGCACATGAGTAAAAAAAAAAGGATGTGCACATATTTATAATACATATTAAAAATAAATATTGCAATATAACATGAAAAAAAATAAGAATTTTCAAATTTGATTTCATGGTGACTTAATATACCAAGTGAACAATTTAAAACCTAGTAATCCTAGTTTTCATTGTAAATGCCTCTTGATCTGAATATAATCTTTATGTCTTCTCTGTTGTGGACTGTAGGATGGAGATTATCAGAGGTGCTACAGAAAAGCAGAGACAATTGCTTGGCAAGCTTCATCTTCTGCAGGTGATTTTCTTAAAAAATATTGAATATTTATTAATATCATAAGTCCCATTTTTATGCCCTAATTATGCATTTTTATAACACTTCATAAATCATTCTTGTCCTGTCTCTGTTTTGCTTAACTTGCGTATCAATAGTTATTTACCGTAATTATGTTGTGTTAGGGAACTGTGTGAAAAGTTGGTTTCCTCTTGCTTAACAGTTTTTTTTCTTTCTCTGTGTTTCCCCCTCACTTTTACACCACAGCGACAGTTTACAGAGAAACGCGAAGAGCTTCAGACACTCATCACAGAGGAAGTGCGTCTAATTGGAGGTGTGTTAATATGTGTTTGTGTGTGAGAGATGTGGGCATACACTACCCACAAGAGAAACGCATCATTTCCCCATAAAGCCACGGTCTGCCCTCAAGATATCAACAAAAGCATCTGTGTGTGCACGCATGCCATGTTGGAAGTGTGTGTGTGTGTGTGTTTATAGAAATTACAGGAAGATGCTTTGCTGACGATTCTTATCACTGTTCTTAAGTGAAACTTCAGCTAGTCTACACTGTGAAAAAATGTTTTGTCAGGTCGTTTAAAATGTGTTTCATGTGGTAACAACTGCTAGATAGAAGCTTGTTTCTACTGTGGAAAAAAAGTCAAAATTGTGAGATATAAACTTGCAATTGCAAGAAAAATCGGAACTGTGAGGTTTCATCTTATCTCTGACTTATTTTCTTAGAATTTTTAGATATATACTCTTTAATAAACAGAGAGAAATCTCACAAACACAATTTATGTAACATTAACACGAAACCGTGAACTGAGGGATAAATACACAGAGGGAAGATAATCAATGGAACGGAGAACAGGTGAGGTACTAATTAGAAACCATGACAACAGATGAGTAACCAGAGCTAAGGCAAACATGACAAAGAAAACAGGGGCCATTTACACAACACCGGTTTTTAACTAAAAATGCAAACATTTTATGTCCCTTTTTTCGCCATTCATTTACACGACAACGGCATTTTGGGGGGCCTGAAAAAACAAACTTTTGAAAACCGATACCATTATCGTCTCTGTGCGAACTACAAAAATGCAAATTTGTGAACACTGTGACGTCATTTGCATGCATATTATGTGTTCAGTCTATAGGCACAGAGTGTTTCTTTACAAAGTGACATCGCCAACTACTGGCCTGGCAGCAGAATACAGCGTTTTCAGTCGTTTTGCTGATCCGTGTGAACGGGGATCATTTTGATAACATTTACGTTTTTAGTAATAACTTCCGTAATTCAGAATGCCTTCATCAACCGTAATTTTTTAAGGATCAGGTCAGAACTTACAGGAATTACATAAATTAAAAAAATATTACTACATAGAATAGAATGATTTATAATAAATAATTTGTAGTACCACATTAGAAAATTATACTATATTAAATATTTTCAGTTAAACCATTTTTGTTCATTTGAGTTCTCTTCTATTATGTTCACACAAACGCTTTAGTGTGCCAGTAGATTAAAACAATATTTCCCTTTGTTTTCAGGTGCCATGGGAAACATCCAGAAGCCAAATGCCCTTACAGAATCTTCTGCTAGCCTTTGCTGACAGTATGGATAGTTTTGTTCCACTTACAATATAATCAAACGCACCGGGCTTCACTTGAAAAATACACGCCTGTGCATTAGAGTAGGGCTGAAAGTAAACACTGTAGTAAAGTAGATCAGGCACCTTCTACTCCTAAACCATTTTAAAGTTACAAGACTTATGGCCATAAGGTCAAAGAGACACTGTTAAGACAGGATCGAAAGCATGATATTTAGCATGAAATGTTAAATATTGATGTATAAGATTGAATTATTTAACTATTTATTTTAATTGTAGTGCATTTCTGTATTATTTATATGTATTTGTGTATTTTGCACTATTAAGCAGCAGTCATTTAAGCAGCAGTCATTTTTATTGTAAATGTATTTAATTTACTGCACTGTTTGTTTTATCTAATATATTTTGTATACAAAGTGTTTTAATATATTTTTTCATTTTTATATTTATAGAATGCCTTTTTAATAAACTTTTATAACTGGTGTTTTGGTCTAGCACAAGCTGGTTCTTCCCACAGTACACTTAATCTTGCTGAATGTGGTTTGCATAAGTTGATTTGTCTGCTGTTTGCTTCTGCTGATCATAGGTTTCCCAGATATCATCTCTCTCAGTGGTAAAATACCAGATGCAATTCTTATTCACCACAAAGATCTTAAGCCTGGCAGGAAATGACATCATTTCAATCACATCAGTGATGATTCATTCCGTTTCAAAGAAGAAAAAAAATAGCATTCTCATCACTTTTATTAGACTTAATTGACAGTAGAATGACTGACGGATGCCTCATTCTATTTTCAACCTCATTTTTGGCTGCTTTAAAGACTTTGTAGAAGTTGTTGCAACATCTTTACAATATTAGATGGCAATCATATTAAGCTCAACCAAACTGACACAAAACACTTTTGCAGATTCATTGGATAATCCAGGGAGTGTCCTGGATTATCCAATGAATGTTATCCAATCACAGGTTAACTAAAATAGGCTAATTTAATGTCACTTCTATTCAAACTAAAACCATGTACTTTACATGTGCTTTACATGTGCTTTAGTGTGTTAGTCAACATCAAAATAATAACACTTTTTTTAACGCATGACAAAAGATTACTAAAACAATTTAAAGGTGACCTATAATTCAAAATTGAATTTACCTTGGTATAGTCAAATAACAAGAGTTCAGGGCATGGACATGACATAGAGTGAATCTCAAACTGGACTGTTCTCGCGTCCTCATTTAATTCACGTTTATGAAAAACACCCCTGAAAAACGGTCGGTTCTCCACACAATACCGACTGTGACGCAATAGTCGGGATCATTAATATGTACGCCTCCAAATATTTGCATAATGTCAGCCCTTAAAGGAGAACTCCGGCGCAAAATGAACCTTTGGTCTAATTACACATTGCCTAGTCAACCGTTATCTGAGATTTGTTTTCATGATTATCGAATGTAAATAGTTTTATCTCTACAAACAGTTTAGCCTATAAAGCTAGTATAACGCTAGTATATTGGGCATAGTGTAATGACAAATAAAAATCGCTTGTTAATACCACTAACAAGGCTCAAAATAGCCCCACACTAACACGGTAGCATAATGAGGGTCCCTACCTTCAAACCGAAGCATTGAGAACTTTGTCAGTGTCCAGACAGTTTAATAAGAAGATATTTTAAACATACAGTCAACTTCGCGTATACAGGCATAAGCCATCTTTGAAATACAGTCTTTACCAGTCGATCTACGAACGCCGATCCAAGCCTGCTGTTCGCGCTCACCTTATCACAACTTATAGCTCGTTCACATTCTCACCAGCGAACACTTGGATCGGCGTTCGTAGATCGACTGGTAAAGACTGTATTTCAAAGATGGCTTATGCCTGTATACGCGAAGTTGACTGTATGTTTAAAATATCTTCTTATTAAACTGTCTGGACACTGACAAAGTTCCCAATGCTTCGGTTTGAGGGACCCTCATTATGCTACCGTGTTAGTGTGGGGCTATTTTCAGCCTTGTTAGTGGTATTAACAAGCGATTTTTATTTGTCATGACACTATGCCCAATATACTAGTGTTATACTAGCTTTATAGGCTAAACTGTTTTTAGAGATAAAACTCTTTACATTAGATAATCATGAAAACAAATCTCAGAGAACGGTTGACTAATGTGTAATTAGACCAAAGGTTCATTTTGCGCCGGAGTTCTCCTTTAATGCCAGGTGGAACTGCGCAGCCGAAGCATGGCAGTTGCTCAGTGTGGATGTACACATGAACACAAAAGTATTTTTTAGTTCCTTCATCTGAGCCTCTGAAGAAACAATGGGTTAATTTTATTTTCTCTGGAAATTTTCAAACATTTCACCGACTGTTTCCTCAACTTGGGCCAATACAGAGCTGGCCTCGGATCGAGCTACCAAGCAACACTTTCTGATGTGTAATTGTTCAAGTTCAGACAGGTAATCTTTCTCTCAAAATCGTTCAATACTGTTTATGCATCAGTAAGTCAAGCCAGTGACTAAAATATCAGCTTCACATCGTTTCTTTTAGTAGGATGAAAATAATCGTATTTAAATTGTGAACAAATTATATACAGAAAGCGATCAAAGAACAATCTTTCCACACAGCGCGAGTTTATCTGGACACTTGCCAAACTCGTTATGAAATCAATGACGCACGTTACTGCACAACGAAGCTCTTACTGTATTTACATCATCGTGTTTGCATTGGTGAAAGCATTAGAGAGAGTGCAGAAACTGCTTTGCAATGATAAGATCTTCATTCTCGCGATCAACACGTCATCTGCTCAATGCTCATCACGGCAACATTTTATGTGATGGGAATAGATCTAAATACTTTAAAAACATCTCACGATTCGTTCATCTCGATAGCTGTTATAGTAAAAACGTATAATAGCAGTAGTAAAAGTATTCGGGAGAGAGTTTCACATGTAATGCGTAGCTATTTCATATGCAAGCATGTCAGCCAATCACAGCAGTGGCCGCGGTTACACTGAATCCCACAGCAGACACGCCCCTTCAAACAGAGTGTTCAAATCAGAGGCTAAAAGCAGGCTAGGAAAAATGCCATTTATTTCTAAATTATGATTATTTTTTATCTAAAAAACATACTAACATTATAAGGGTAACCCAGGAAACATTATAAAATAATTAAAAAAAACATTCTAGGGCACCTTTAAAGCTGCAGTCCGGGATTTTTCCTCTTTGTCGCCATCTCTGTTCGAAATCTGCAATTGCAGTCATTCGCGGAATTATCAACTTTACGTGGGTTGTAGTTCAACTCCCTCGACACGGCACAGCGCGGAGGAACACAGTGTTTGAGGAGAGTGTGCAGCTGTCAGTCACCGCGCCGATGTGGATATTGTCATTCAGAATCACAGATTATTCTTTTTGGAAGTATGACCAACATAAGAATTTTCACCGGGAAATGTCAACTGAACTAGTAAGAAACATTCACTTTTGTTCTGGTTCTGACATTGCAGTAAATCGCGCTGATTAAATCTAACAATTGCTTATAAGTTATCATTTCACGCAAAACCGTGCAAAGTAGCTATACTATGTTCTCAAATTGTTAATGTTAACAACGTCAGCAAGCATTGCGTGACTACATCATGTAATGTCCTTCCGATATTATCCTTGTTTTCGCATGGGTCCGGTTGCAGTCTCTTTTTTTTCTGTAGCCACTCCGAAGTCCGAACGAAGTCTTTTGCATGTTACAGCGGGTGAGTCTCTAGTTGTCACTGATGATGATCGTCGTTTGAACCTTTCTGGATCCGCCATCAAATTGATAAGTTTAATTATATCAAGTGCTGTGAGAAAAGGCTATAAATCTCCACCTCCAACATCCTCACACGCAATATAGCTTATACTAGCCGAGACTCCTTCTTTATGTGTACAGATGTGACGTAATGACGCAAAGACATGTTCGAATCTCCCGCGGAAATCCACCAGTACCACTAAAATTAAAAACATTATTACAAGCTTACCGTTTTGCATCGAGCTAAGGCAAGCAGATAGTTTTGAACACTGGCTGGTTATGTATTTTATTAAATATGTATTTTGGATAATTTTTAACCCAAAAAAAGCTACGGACAGCAGCTTTAAAATGTAGGCCTACTTTTATGTACACTTAAGTATCGCGCCCCCTTTTTTGAATAAACAGGAAAATGCACAATCCGAACTTAAATGGTTATAATTCAAGAATGCTGTGGAATATAGATTTAAGATTGGTCTTGTTTGTCTTTAAACGATAGAGTATATCGCAGCCACCGCACTTGGCTGGAGTTACATCCTGCTCCTTATGTGGGTGGCTAGCATAGAAGTCGCTTCCTTCAGACGTCTTCAACTGAGGGCAGAGCTGCATGGTTCAGACCTGTTGACTTCACTGGGTTTTCAAGTGGGCACCCCACTTCACCGGTGTTTCGTCAACTAGCCCACGACACCTCCATGAGGCTTGACAGCAGAGCCAGCGTCCTGGAACTGCTCCCTCGGTCATTCAGGACTATACCACTCCGCTCTGACCCCCGCCCTCTCTGCCAGCCTGGTTTAGCCACCGCTCGCTCCTCTTCAACCACAGCCATCTGGATGCTGTCTCTGCCTGCTTTGCTATCTTGTTCACTAGGTTCTTGCGGGTTGTCCCTCTAACCCCAAGCGTCCCCAAGGCTCTCCAAAGTGACTGTCCTGGGAACCCCCTGCAACCCACCTCCACCGGTAGATTCCAGGCTCTCCAACCCCTCTGCTGGCTCTCAAAGATGAGGGACTGATACTTCCCTAGCTTGCGTTCGTGTGCCTCCTCAATCCTTTCCTCCCAGGGTACCGTCAGCTCTATTAGGGCCACCTGTCTTGTTGCCTGGGACCAGAGCACGATGTCTGGTCGGAGGCTGGTCACTGGAATTTCCTCTGGAAACTTGAGTTGCCTCCCGAGATCAACTCTCATCTCCCAGTCCTCTGCCGTACCAAGGATCCCTAAGGATCTGTTCTCCTTGCCTGCCTTCTCCCCAGGCCTGAGGAAGCAAATGAAACGGGGACCTCTATCTTGGGCCTTGGTTCTTTTCCGCTTCCTCTCCTTTTCCAGTCCATCAGCGAGCTGTGCGAGCACCTGATCATGGCGCCACCTGAACCTCCCTTCAGTCAGGCCTGCCCGACAGGACGACAGAATGTGCTCCAGGTTTGCCGGTCTCTTGCACAGCGCACAGGATGGATCCTCTGTCAGTCTCCATCTTTGGAGGTTTGTTGGTGTTGGCAGGACATCGTACACAGAACTAAGGAGGAACTTTATTCGATGCCCCTCCATATTCCAGATGTCCTTCCAACTGAGAGATCTTCCTCGGACACTTCCCCACCTGGTCCAGCTGCCTTGCTGTTTCATGGCTACTGCCCTGGCTTGTCTACTCTCTTCCTCCACGGCCCGAATCTCCTTCTGCACCATCCCTTTCCGGTCCTTTGCCTTTGCCTCCTTCCAGCTTGCTCGGGTGATGACTCCCAGGCCCAGCCTCCCCTGGGTCACCGTGCCCATGATGTCTGCATGTTGTAAGCGCTCTTCCACTTCCCTCAGAGCTCCGCTGGCTTTCCACTTCCGTCCCGTCTTCACTACGATGTTGGCCTGTCGCACAGCCTGATCGTTACTGTCGCGCAACATCATGGCCAACCGAACTTTGGCTGTCTTAAATTCCTCCACGACTGATGTGATTGGCAATTGTTTTAATAAAGACATTTGACTGATTTTTGTAGTTAAATAAATTACTGTTTTATAAGTTCCCATTCAATTCAATTAAGCACTTCACAAGGAAACAGTGGGGTGGGGTATCAGAATGGACAAAAACAGTGTAACAGATCCACTGAGGAAAGTTGCAGTTGGACCCAAGTGCAGTTTTATTAAGATTATCCAGAACAAATAAAACAAGACGATAACTTAAACTAGCCTATAAACATGACCATAAACGTAAAAATAAACATGAACTTGACCTGACAAGACGCATGAGACTCTCCAACAGCGGTTACAGGGAACAATAATCAACAAAAGACAATGGAAACATGAGGGCTATTGATACACACAGACTAATGACTTAACAAGACACACTTGTGAATAATCAACAAGGAACCAATCAGAACATGACACATTGACAAGAGAACCAATCAGAACATGAGACTAGGGACGCACATGACAAGATCACATGATGGCAAGGGAATCACATGACAAACCAGGACACCATGACTAAGCTAAATTACAAAATGAAAAAGACATGAAACATGAACGAACCAAAACCCAAACCAACATGACAAACAGCTTCCGTCTCAGTGAGATGTTAGACTGTGGAAAACTAGTATCCACCTGTCAGAGAGTGTGTTATCCTTATTTAAGTGCAACACAACTTTGCAGTAAAAGAACACCAATAAATCTCCCGTTTTCGAAGATGCTCAAAATAAAGGGTGCCACTTTTCAAACTGAATGTCCCGTCTCAACCAGCGAGCCCATCAATCTCACAATCCCATGCTCACACCCAGAATTAGAAGCCAAACAACACTTTTTTTTTCTAAACAATGGGGATGAGAATCTCACCAGCTCCGCCACTGGGAATGAGAATGAGGCTGCGTCACCCAATGACAGCCAGATTCCATTGAGTCGTAAAGGGAGGGACACTGACACAGCCATGCACAGACTGCTCTCCACAAGAGACTACTTCTGAGCATCCTTCTCCTTCAGGGTCCACTCGTCTTCCCAAATCACAGGAACTGGAGTCACACCCACTAACAAACCTCACGCAGTACAGCTGAGCCAACAGGAACAAGGTAAGACGCATTATTCTTGATGAGTGAGGTTTTAGAGTTTGCGTCGATGTGTTAAAATGGTTTCTGACAATGCAAATCTTCTCCATTAACTGTTCATTGGTTTTGAAAGGTACAAGTTCACTTTTCACATTCAGGTGGTTCGATGTTCTTGTTCGAAGTGCATAAGTTGTTTTATGTTGAGGAAAAACTAGTTTTGATAAGGTATTTCTTGGATAAATTTCATAACTATAAAGAGAACAGCAATAAAACTTTCAAAATGCAATTTGAAAGATGTCTAGACATGGTTACTTGAGATGTTTTTCTGTATTGGTGTAACATCATGGCACGATTTCCCAATTCTTGAATATTATGTAAGGCCTCTCATTGTTGGAAGAATTGTGTACTCGCAGTTCTCATTCCAGCAGTTGGTCGCTTTGTTTAGTCAAATCAAATTAAAATTCCTCAAAACAACTTTGCATCTTTTGCCAAGTCTCTTCACCAAAAGTCCTTTCCTAATTTGGACAAGACAAACCATTAAGTAATGAAAAGACACTGATTGTCAGTTGAATACTAACATTGGGTGATTTGGTGAAATTACAGCACAAGAAAAACTGTTAATTATCATATACAAACTGATCTATGTTACACCTGAGAACTGGAATTCAAATAGAAGAGTTGTGTCTCTTTTCCTTTATCAACTGCTGCAATCGCAGGACAGGAAGTGACATCAATGGAGCAGAACGCCAAGGACACATTTGAAGCTGAGAAAGAGCAAATGAATGGTCAAACCGAAGAAGTACCTCAAGAGACGACGACATCTGAAGAGCCGGCGAATATAAGAGAGAATAAGAAAGAAGAGGAAATAAGTGTGAATGAAGCAGATGAGAATGAAGGGGGGGAAACGAAGGAAGAAGAAGAGGAAGAGGAGCCTGATTTCCAGCCTCCGGTTGAGATGTCAGGCCAAGAGTACGAGAAGGATAAAAACAACCGGCCTGTTTGCAGGTACAACACTGTCTGCTACAGGAAGATTAAGAAAGGAAACACAATGCAGAGAATAGATGAGTTTGAGTCCATTCTGAATGTATAACAGCGGTGAATGTCGTCAGAGACATGCGTAAGAACTGAGTGCCGTCATCATGTATGTTTTCATGGGGTTGTTAAACTTCTTCATAGTTAAAAGACATAACATATATGCTCACGTGAACAGTATTTTATGACAGTTTATTTTCGGTTTCTTTGTAGAAATCAGTAGTTATCTTTAAAGCATCAAGAAAGCAGACTCGCCTCTGATGATCAAGTTTAAGTAAACCCTCATCTGGCAGTGAGCCGGGAAAACATTTAGGCTATTTGTCTGCAAATTAGATTTTTCATTAATGAATGCTCCTCCAAATAACATGCGGTCTCTCTGACTGATGAAGGTCTGATCTATATTGTGTAAGTATGTGAACTCAACATTAATGAATTACTGGAAGAGCTTAGTTACAGTAAAGCAGTATGGAGGACATTATTGTATTTCTGTTTAAAATGTCAAAAAAAAAGGTTTTTGAACTCTAATGTAAACTTTCTAATGTTGTGATTATGGATATAGCTTGCTTCCACCTTTTAAAATACAACACATAATAGTCATTTCAGCATTTTATCATTTCCTTTAGATCTGTATATGTAGCATGTATGCAATCGGTAATTATATTTTTGGACAAATAGTTGTCATTGTTTTACATAATGTTACTGGATATCTACCATCACTGTAAAAAAAAAGTTGCTGCCTTAAATTTTTAAGTACAATCAACTTGGATGTTTAAGTCATATTCACTTAAATTACATTAAACTGACTGAAAAAATGAGTTGAATCTTGTATAACGTTCACAAGTTTTTTTTCTTTCAAAAAGTTGTTAAAGCAATGTAAAAACATAATGTTGTCATAACTTATTGATCATATCATTTTTTACAGTGATACTAGAAACTGCATTTCATGTTATCTATTCAAGTTATTAAGTCTCTCTTTCTCTCTGACTGCACAAAACTGCTAAATATGTTTTTGTCCCATTGAGGTCGAATTACACAATCTGTGCAATAATTGGCTTGAGAATTGAGATATTAAATTTGAATGTATTTATATTATATTATATTATATTATTTCTTATCCACTAGATGGCAACATTGTTTTGTCTTGATATAAAGGTAAGGAAAGAGGTTTGCATGACCTGCCTCTGTCTACTTTTACAAACTACATTTCTGTTAGTGGGTCTTCATTGGAATTTGGAACATTATATGTGAAGTCTAAGTAAAAAAATTTGGGTCCTGTTATGCATATTTGTACAGAATTGAAACATTCATCAACTAAAGAAAATACATGGTCATGGATTACTTGCAACAAATCATCTCGACAACCCTTCATAAAACCAATCTAATATACAACCACAATAAAATGACAACCTAATGAAATCAAACTTTGACAAGCTCAATTAGCACGAAGAAAGAAAACCAACAAATTGTTTACCTTTGTTGAACTAATCATTTTTATGTGGCATCTAATGCAAGTATAATCAATGTAATGAGATATTTACTGCAGTGATTAGTTTCATTTGGGTGTTTATGACCCGACAGACTCTTTTATTTATGTCTCTGTGTTTCTGGCCCCTCTCTAATTGCTCATTGGGAGTCTGTGTGGGTTTGGTGTTGTTTCGTCTGTTAGCTCTATAAATGCTTGAACTTTACAATACAAATCTCACTAATTGCTTTTTATTTGAAGGCAGTTTATGAATATCACCTCCATTCCTCCAAGCACATTACCTGCTGCTGCCTGATCGTAATGTATTACAGGTTACTTTAATGTTTTCATAATTCTGCTGTGGGTTTATTTAGGCAAAACGAGACAGGGCTTTTGGCCTGGCTTGTTTAAGTCAGGTCCGGGCCTCATTTGAATGGTGACAAATGTCATGCTGCCATGGCAACGGGAGGTTTGTGACTGTTGTGGTGCACCGTCCCTGGGCTGGGGGTCGGAAGGCACTTCCTGGGCAACACACGTCCCCTGTGGTTTAGGGTCGTAATTGACCTTTCCTGACAGAGCGGTACAGCTTTTCATTCTCCCTCGCTCCATCCCTTTTCTACTGTTTCCTCTTTCTTTCTTTCTGTTTTGGTCGCTCTCACTCTTTCTGTCCCCCCAGAAAGCAGGTTGCATCACGGTGGGCTGAAATGCCACTCTTGGCCCGGGGCTTTTACGCAGATCTTTCTGACTTCCTCTGGCTCTCTTTGCCTGCATGTTTACGCAATAACTACCATGCGCTTGTCTGCTAGTTTTGTGGTAGAGGTACTGGAGAAGGTTTTCTTTTTTAATCAACTCGCCTCCTTTTTAAAGGAAAATAAAATATTAGACAGGTTTCAGTCTCTGCTCTTTTGAAAGCGTTGAATGATCTGTTATGTGTTGAAGCGGGTAAATGTGTCGTTCTGGTTCTTTTGGACCTTAGTTTAGCCTTCGACACAATTGATCATTCAATTCTTTCGAAACATTGTGAGCAGTATGTTGGCATTAGAGGATCAGCTTTAAATTTCATCCTTAAGGGGAGAAATATTGAAAACTTCTCCTCCTTTTCTCCAGCTTGTACATGTGGTGTGCCACAGGGTTCTATTTTAGGCCCTGTTTTGTTCTCCCTATAGGGATCTATCTGCTTCCATTAGTCAATATTTTTTTTGTAAGAGATTTTGTATGAGATTTCATATCATTATGTAGATGATATTAAGCTTTAATTTCTTTACAGAACATGTCCCTCAGTCGTTGGTCGACTGTTTAAGCTATTTTAAAAACTACTCCAAAAGTGTTCGTTTTTGGTCCATCTGAACGTACCGATATTCTTTCTAAAAGTCATGGCCCTATAATCAGCACTGTATGTTCTCAAGCAAGAAATGTAGGAGTCATTTTTGACTCTACACTCAAATTTACACAAATAAATTCAGTTGTTAAATCAGCTTGTTTTCCGCTTAGGGCGATTGCCAAAATGAAATCTTTCTTTCCATTCAAGGACTTGGACAAAACTGTTCATCGAGACTGGACTATTGCAATTCATTGTATTTAGGAGTATCTCAATATTGTCTTTCTTGTCTCCAGTTGGTCCAAAATACGGCTAGACTTTTAACGGGTACTAGAAAGAGGGAAAGTATTACACCTGTATTAACTAGTTTGCACTGGCCCTCCATTGAGTATCGAATCCAGTTAAAGACTTTATTATTTGTATGTAAGTCTTTCAATGGATTGGCACCACATTATTTATCTGATCTCCTTTCTTTCCATCAGACCAATAGGTCTTTACCTGTTTCTGTCTGCCCTTTTCAGGGGTTTTTAAAATCTTCGCTAATGACACATCTTTCTACATTGGCTTATGTGTTAGAGTAATGAGACCCGGTATTGCTGAGATCATATTATTGGGATTATTTGTATTGTTAGTTGCTATGTCTAATTTTTATTACTGTTGTAAATTTGGGATTGTCTTGTTTTGTGTGATCTGTTTATTACTCTATTTACTTGCTTGCAGCACATTGTTTGGCCTTGCCTTTATTAAATGTGCTATCTAAACTAAACTAAACTTTTATTTTACATTGAAGTTACAACATATTCTCTCTTAAACAATTTAATATTTGGACAGTGAAGCCACACTAAAATGTATAAATGTTATTGGATTATATAGTATAACAAAGCATCAGACCAAGTTGCATTTTGTTTAAAACACACAGCACAAACACTCTTTTCAAGCAAAACATTTTAAAAATGGCTTACAGTAGGTTTTGATACTAAAAATACTGTCCAATGAAAGTAAAAAATATTCTTTCTGGCCACGTGAATGGACTTTCTGGTCATGTTTATAGTTATTGTGATCAGGGTAATTAACATTAATGAAAACTAAAACCAAAAATTATTTTTTTGTTACTTGAAACATAAACATTAACTGAAACTTATTTTATTTCAGCTAATTGTCAAAGCAAAATTTCTCATAAATATAAAAAAAAAACTATAAACACATTTTTTAAGAAACAACTAATTAAATGGCAAAATACACAACAAAATTACTTACATTTTTAAATATATATTAAAATAAAATCTAATTAAAAATATTAACAAAAATTATAATTTTACATGATACCAAAATAACCCTGATTGTGATGAACTACAAATATGGTTTCTTTGTTAGGATAGTGGTTTACAAACGGTGTTCCATGGAAAAGACAAGAGAAAAATAATTTCTAAATAAATAAATAAATAAATAAATGATTGAACATTTACAGATTTTGATATTATTTAAATTTTGAAAAGTTTCATGCTACTTGCTAAAGACAATTGGAAATCATATAAAAATTAATCACAAATAATTTGACTATTTTCAGGTTTATATACAATGTACTAGAAATAATAAATCTTTACATTTTAAAAATGTTTATATTGATTTTTTTTATACACAATTTTACATATTTTTTTAAACCGTATAAATTGGATTTTATAAATGAAATTTTAGGGTCTCTGTGTTTTTTAATTGTCTTGAAGTGTCCAAATATTTTTGTGGACATTATATTAATGAGATGGTGTGTAAAAACAAATTCTTGTAACAGTACAGTAAAACTTACCATGCTTCTTATTTCATGTGCAAATGAATCCACAGATTCTGCCATTTTCAACAATTTCATTCTAAACTGATCTGCGAATGATGTAGAATAAATGATGATTTGAGAGCGAGAGGTGGCCTCGGAAGCGTGAGTCATCCGTCAGTGTTTGTGTGCTGTGAGAGCGGCCCACTGTGGCCTGACTCTACGCCACACATTCATGAACCCCCCTCACGCCATGATTGCTCTACAATGACAGCTTTGTGAAGGATGGAAGAGAGCTGCTGTGGAAAATATTCAAGACACTGAGAGAAAGAGTGAGACAATGAGACAGAAAGAAGAGCTATCAAAGTGTTTCGTTCACAAAGCCTGCGAGTGTTCTGGCTCCATTGGAAACTTTCAGCCGTTCAGTTGAGTTTAAAGGGGGTGAGACAAACAGAAAGCTTGCGTCTTGTGGTAAACATGGGGTGGGGTCAGGAGGGGTCATTTTCCTCTGTGCATTCACTGGGTGGGTGTGATGGGTTACTGGAGGCCTGTTCCGCTGTCCATTCTCTCTTCAGGTCATATCCAGAGACCGGTGGCGTCACAGCGGCTCACAACGGACATGCCATGACAGAACACAGGAACTGATGACGTCTCCGATCCTTTAGGGGGGATTCTGAGTGAAATAGCCTTCTGGAAATACTCGTTTCTTTGCATTGGGGGGTTGTTTCCTGCACTTGAAAAACACACACAATAATTCACAAAACAAAATGGCAGTAAAACCAGTCATTTCTGAAAGACTCATAGGACATCTTACTGTAAACTTCACATTGTCACGGGATGATAATAGAAGATTTAAAATAAAATGTAAAAAAAAGAAAAATTCTGTTTAATTTAATGTGTTATTAATAATTGTAATATTTTGATAAAATAATAATGATTAGTTATTCTTTTCTATTATTCTTAATATTAAGAA